TAGATTCAACAAGCAAAAGCAGTTGAAGAAACCCAGGAAGCTGTAGAGGAGGCAGCCTCTAACCTTGTTCTTCTGGGATCCTTAACTCTCATCAGGACGTTAAAAGACCGTGATGAGGTTTTGGCTTCATCTTTTAAATTTTATCTGGAGCACCCTTGAGACAGTAAGTGTTTGGATTGTACCTGTGGTTTCTTTGATATAACCTTTTTGTGCTTGTACATTCCCTGAATGTTTTCATAGGGGCTTTCACACCAGAGGAACCTTTTCATAGTTCCTAGAACTATTGGCGGAAGTTCCAGTTTTTTGGCGTGTTTGCACTGTTTGGGGAAGCTAAATTAGTTCCTACTTCACAGTAGGGTCTAAAACAGTTCTCTAGGAACTACCAGTGACATAAGTGTACGCTGATTGGCCAAACGCATACGAAACACCAGCTACCCGGCATTTTTTAAAAGCCATGTAAAAATATTTTCTCCATAAACATGGAAAATGGCGATAACTGCATTTACCTTTTGTCTGCAGCATAGTGTTTTTTCTCAGGCTCAATGATAGCACTGCAAGGTGTCATAAGCAGGGTTTCCGTGGGTCCTTAAAGTCTTAAATGGTACAAGAAAGTCCTAATTATGATTTAAATCAATGTAATTAATTTGATTCATTCAAACGTCTGATTCATTCAGGAATGAATCAAACGGCTCTCTTTATGAATCCATATTTAAATCATTGATTCACACGATTCGTTCAAAACACTGATTCAATCAGAAAATAAACACCGCTGTGTTGCTCGGAGACGCACAACAATTCTGCTATGGCTTTAAAAGTAATTATTTTCTCTGCAAAACTGAGCAAAAACACATTGTGTTTAAAATATAAGGCAATATCAACTTCTTTACTGAACTGTAGTATAGTATAAAATCACATTTAAATTCGTGATATTCGGGACAAACAGCACTCGAGTGATATTGTCTTTATTAGATTGCAGGAGGGCTTGGAAACACTGGGGGTGCTAAAAGCACTACAAGAAGACATTAGCCTATGGGACTTGTGTATTGGACGCCCCCCTGCTCCACTGACAGCTCAGCAAATCACAAACCTCTTTCAATTTACTAAAATAATTTTGTTCTAATGGCTTTATTAGATTGCAGGAGGGCTTGGAAACACTGGGGGTGCTAAAAGCACTACAAGAAGACATTAGCCTATGGGACTTGTGTATTGGACGCCCCCCTGCTCCACTGACAGCTCAGCAAATCACAAACCTCTTTAAGGTCTGTTTGCGACTATTCAAGCGCAAACTGAAGTCAGGATCGTGTGTTGTCTGAGAGGCGTTACATTAAATTATATATTAGATTATATTCAATTAAATGTGAAGTATGTTAACTGTTACAAGATGATTGACAGGACAGTTTATGGTCACAGGATGCATGTAACTAAGCAACAGAACGTCCATAAAAGACCATTTTCTGATGTGGCAGTATGTCCTAAAGCTTCTCCCCCCGCCTCCCTACATTTTTTTCTTCTTTTTTTTTTTCTTTTTCATTTTAGGTGGAGATGCTATGTTGACTGTAGAGGAAGAAGTCAGAGTGACATTTGACGATCTGTTGATGTTTGCCACAGGCACAGATCGAATTCCTCCACTTGGGTTTGATTCAGTGCCTACACTAGCATTTCTGCATGACCCAGTAAACGGAGTGAAGAGAATTTATCCGGAGGCAAACACGTGTGCACTGATTCTGAGGCTCCCAATACATGCCTTGTATGACAGCTTCAGCAGACATATGATTTTGGGCATGTGCAGACCCCACATTTTGGGCTAGCCTGGTGGGTTATTCATGTTGTTTTTTTTGTTTTTTTTTACTTGTTCTGGTGTTTTTTGTTATTCATGTTGAAATGTTTGACAACATTGGCTTTTTTTTTTTTTTTTTTGGCTTGTTCTGGTGTTTTTTGTTATTCATGTTTAAATATTATAAAGTGTTCAGTGGCATGGCCCCTTTCTGAGGAAAGGTTTTGTTTATGTCTGTCGCTTCCTTGGTGCTCTCCCACCAGGTGGACAAGCATGCGCCTTGGCACGGCATGGTTGGATTTCGTTCCCCAATGTGCCCCCTAGGGGGCGCAGCGTTGAGTTCCCTAGAAGGGAAACGTCTCGGGTTACGCATGTAACCATGGTTCCCTGAGAGGCAACGAGACGCTGCGCACCCTTGCCATGCCTTCGGCCTGCCTGTCTACGTCTCCTTTAGACAGCTAAAGTGAATGACGTATTCAGCAGGTGCCCTTTTATACTTCCGGGCATCCCGCCTATGACATCATGGGCCAGGTGGGCATGCGTAACCCGAGACGTTTCATAGCCTCGCTGAAAACTCAATGTGAGGGTTAAATCAATGATTGATAGTTTGTTCAGGTCTGCAAAATTGCATAGCCTATACAAAAATGCATTTGGAAAATGTTTGCAGAAGTGTTCTTGTGGTTTTGATTGTTGATTTTATAGGTCGATGAATGTGTTACAACTGTTATGTAATGCTAATAAATATTCCACAAATGATACTTTACAGTAACGTCCTGCAGTGCCCCATACAATTTCCTTTTGAACGACATGCACTTATGAATCATTGAATGTGTGTGAAGAAAGTAAACAGAGACAACAGCTTTCATCTAGGAAATGTTTTTAAATCAAATAAGTCTGTTCTTGAGGCAGTAAAGCTTTCATGCATTTTCCAAAAAAAATGCATTGTGATTATTGAACTGCTTGAAGAGATAACGGTCCATAAAGGGCTGATCTAAACACCAGCCAGCTGCTATGGATTTGTCCTTGCCTCTAGGGTGATTTGAGGTTACAATTTAGGAGTGTGGCACAAAGTACACTCTATCTACTCTGCTTTTCAATCTCTCTGGCATAGTTTAGCATTTCTATAGCTTAGTATATAGCTTTACTAAGCATAGCTTAGGGAAAACGCGTGAAAATAAAATGTGGTGCAACCTGAGCAGATCTTAATTTCATGCCGCAATCAACACTTTTCATTTGTTTTCACTTTGTTCGCAACAGACGTAATAGATTTAGTTTAATTGTGCAGGGGCATTTTTGTTCAATTTGGTGGCATTTTTGCCCCAAGTCCCCGTGGCCAGGGGAAGGCTAAGCCTTACACACGCTTCGCCTATGTGCTGGGTCTTTAATGTTGTGAGCCTGTTTTTCTGCCTGAAGTCCTGGATATTTTGTTGAGATACGTGGCAATCATAAGCAATTGGGGGTTCGGTGCCTTGCTCAAGGGAACCTCAGTCATGGAATTGAAGTTGGAGGAATGTAGCATACAATGTATCATACAATATGCATGATGCTTAATGTGATTAATTTTTCATGCAGTGTTGAGTGTAGGAGAGTTTTTCAGAGGTTTACTGCAGAGATCAGTTGGTGGTTAAAACACCAAAAAAACAAGGATGTCATCCAGAAGTGTATGCAAGTCTACACTCTACAGAGCATACACAGGTAATAAAGAAACTTTTCACGTTCCAGCACATAAGGTTCCCTCTCAAAGCCTGTTTTCATTGCAAGTGAATGATGACAATTTTCATTGTGGGGTGAACTAACCCTTTGAGTATCCGTATTGCCAGTGCCTGGTCTCCCGTCGCACATGAGAAACCTCATAAAACCTGCTAGCTCTCACTCTAGGCTTGTACATTTCCCTCCACAGTGGACACTCCGATTGTCTTGAGTACGCTCCTCTATTAAGGCTGCCAACTTAGGCTTTCCAAATGGAAGAACCCATTTATAACAGATTAATGTAGGTACGTACTTCTGTGTCACATTAAGTAAGTGGACCCATGAACATCCTTTAGCAGCAAAACCTCCACCAGACTTTTGACCATTTTTGAACTATCAATTTACATGCACTTATGAATTGTAAGTAGTATCATTTGCAGCTTTATTACAATTCCATTTTCTCAACTTTATTGTTTTTATTATTGTGAATTTGTAGTGTATGGCAACAAGGATTTGTCTCCCCCACACCACGTTGGTAAATGATGCATCGCTGACTAGTGCCACATGATGCAATCCTCCTAGTGCTGTATGATGTAATCCTTCAGACAAATCCTGCCGCGGCTCTTAGAAGGCATGTTCTACATAAGCTGGTCCCAGTTATTCAGAGACGTCGCAGCTGCACAGAAATGAAAACTGCAGCGCAAGAGCTCAGCAGTACTACCAAGCTTTGTTAATGGTGTAAAAATCCGGTCACCACTGTTGCCAACTACTTTCAATGAAAAGTAGCCAATGCCTGTTTGAAAAGGCACTAAATGTTGCTCGATGACGCTGTGTGCTAATTATCCTGAAGTAAATTTGATTGTGCCAAAGTGGAACTATTGCAAGTATAGCAAGTATACTTCAGGCACATGTTAAATATCTTGCATTCCTTAATAATAGCGACACATTTTAGGCATAATATTAAGAAATGTGCATTGTGCAATAAAGAAATACTCCAAATAAAGTTTAATTATAATTTTATATCAGCAAGTCTTGTGATGTCAATAAATATGTTTATGGATTTAAAGTATACTTGCTTTCAATTTGTAATGGTTTTACTGGTTATAATGAGAATTGTATGGGTTTTAATGGAGACTGGTCCCTGTGGGTCTTTACTGTTAATTTGTCACCTTCGATTGGTGGCTTGTCAAAACCACTAAATCCTAACGGAATATGTCCCAAAACACACTACAGGAAACCATTTTTAATGGTTAAATGGTTTTAATGGTTAACAGTTGATGGTTTGTAATGTTTGTATTTGTAATAATGGTATTTGTAGTGAAAACCATTAGAATTTCTGTGATGGTTTCTATTGTGTACACACAAACGATATCAATACTATATAATACACAGTGTATATAGAATAATGTTTTGAATTGATCTCACTGTACAGGTAAATGCACTGAGCATGTACAAACACATCAGTGATGAACAAACACCAGACACAGTAGCATGAAATGCTCTCATCAATGCATACATACGCAGTCTCTCTCTCTCTGAGAGGCTTGTCTCAGCACAGGGTCTCGTCTCGTCAGGTTCAGTTCAGATCGGATCAGATCATGTGTTTGGATATTCCACACGTGCACATCAGCAGAACCATGAGCGGGATCCCACTGTACTGTACAACGCACATCAACATGAAGGTAAGAAGGACCTTTTCCAATGTATTTTATCTATCAGAAAATTCAGTCATTTAAACAATAATGCTTATGTCTGTATTTAAAAGTATTTCAGGAAAATCACAATGGATATTAATATTGAACACTGTTTTCCGTTTCAGAATATTTTCTTAATTTTATGGCCACTTTGTATGAATGAACCATGAAATTAAAGAGTTATATTGAGCAATGCAAGATACATGTCTTCATGTCTAGATAGAATAACCACCTTTCAGCTTAAAGTCCTGTTTCCTAAAGAGACTCAAAATAATGTTAGAAATGAAACCCCTTGCATTGACATGTCAGCTTTGGACTGTCAGTGAAGTGACTGGAGCTTTAGTGGTGAATATTAGGACTAATGCACACATGAGAAAAGAGTCATAAGTGGGTCTGGATCTGAGAGGGACATTGATCACTTTGCTTTTCAGCCTGTTTGTCCACCGAGGATGATTGTGACATCGAGGACATTGCCCTCCCAAGTCACTGTATAGCTGTACAGAGCAACATAAAAAACAGTCTGACTGGAAGCGTTAATCTTTCACTCTTTGGTCCAAGAACAGTTTCAGGTTTCAGCAATGTGATTGGAAATTTAATGGTTGTACTAAAAAGTAATACTGCGCCCTAATCAACAGAGATGGCAAAAGTACACACATCCTTCACTCAAGTAGAAGTACAGATACTCATGTTTAAAAATACTCCGGTAAAAGTTGAAGTACTGACTACACTTTTTTACTCAAGTTAAAGTATAGAATTATGGGCTCTGACATGTACTTAAGTACAAAGTAGCCATTACTGCTACCTGTTTTAGTGTCACGCGGGTAACGGGACCTAACGTCATATTAATACATTAATACAAAATAACTTGCATTTCAAATTTAGTTAGAACCGCCATGTAGAACAAGACCAGACTGGGATAAAATTTCACTCATCCAGACCGTCCCATGCACCCACAACAAATTCTGAAACCATGCACAACACTATTTTTTTGTATGGCCATCACATATAAATAAAGGTTTAAATCCTTAGGCTGGGGTCATGCAAAATAACTATATTTTCTAAATTGCCTAAATGTCAAAATTAGTACAACAATAACTACACAATCACAATATCTTTATAGAAAAATCCTAATATTGAATATGTTATTGCGTTATCATGAGTCATATTTGTCCCTTTATGAAAATTAACCATGGTTTTATTTCGTGTAGAATTATACACAATACCCGCGTTGCCAGTCAAGTCTAACTGATTCATGATTTATTAGAGATTTATTATCGAACAGGATATGCTTCATTCACCACATGCTTTTTTGATAACACTTTAGAATAGGGAACACATGTTCACTATTAATTAAGAGTTTTCCCTCAATAAACTCCTAATTTACTGCTTATTAATAGTTAGTGAGGTAGTTGTATGGGGTCGGATTAAGGGATCTAAAATACGGTTGTGTAGAATAAGGCATTAATATGTACGTTATAAGTATTAATAAACAGCCAATATGCTAGTAGGCATGTTTCCATTACCCTTCGAATTGCGCAAATTGAAATTGCGAATTGAAAATACGCCTAATGGAAACGCGTCAATTTCGCAAAAATGCCCATATCGCAAAAAAGTGTTTACGCTCGCATGAGGTGGTTTTTCAGGCAATTCGAAAAAGGAATATTTCGCAAAACTGCAATGGAAACGTTTTTTTCGCATTAACAGGTCACATGGCGTACGTAAAAAGTCATATGGTCATTCCTCAATGTACTATAACTTCCAAGAAACACTTCATATGTGGCTGCTCTCAAGTATAAGGGGCTTTCCCTACCATTAATGTTTAGACTATTTACACTGCAAACGTCTGCGGCGCGTTACGGCTCCGAAACGGCCACCGGAGCTGATCGTGGCCACTTTAGTCAACGCTTGTGTTACCAGTCGCACCAAGGCACGTCCCAGAAGCTGCTCTCCGCGCTGCTTCTGTCAAGATACACGCATATGCCTCCTTCGATTAAATATAATAGTGTAGTCAAAATCCGTCAAAATCCATTGCCATGACTTGTCACGAAAGGAAAAAATGACGTTTTAGTCGCATAACATCGGTTAATGGAAACGCCATCATTTCGCAATACTTTTTTAACGACATTTATAAAATATTGCCAAAGTTTTGCGCAAATCTGTAATGGAAACGCGACTAGTGATATGCATGCTAATAAGAAACTAGTTAATAGTGAGAATTGGTCCTTAAAATAAAGTGTTACCATTTTTTCCCCCCCAGGCTGTATGTCCCACTTATTGGAATTGGGAGTCTGAAGGAAATTCATGATGGATTCCTGGACATTTTCGTTCTCACCCAGCAATCTGTCCGGACTCCCCATGTACGATGGCATCATGCTCGGCAACATATCTGAGGAAGGCCTGAGAAACGAGACCGACCAGAGCTTGACTAAAACTAGCACGGTCGTCATCACCATCATCATGTACTTCGTGGTGTGTGCTATCGGTCTGTGCGGAAATGCTCTGGTCATCTATGTCATCCTGCGATACGCCAAGATGAAGACGGTCACCAATAGCTACATCCTGAACCTGGCGGTGGCAGACGTGCTGTTCATGCTCAGTTTGCCCTTCATCGCTCTCCAGCTAGCGCTGGTGCACTGGCCGTTTGGCGCAGTTCTGTGCCGCTTGGTCATGACTGTGGACTCGCTCAATCAGTTCACCAGTATTTTCTGTCTGATGGTGATGAGCATCGATCGGTACCTCGCTGTGGTGCATCCCATAAAGTCCACCAAATGGAGGAAGCCCCATGTCGCAAAGACCATTAATCTGGTCGTGTGGGTCGTGTCGCTCGTCGTCAACCTCCCAATCATAATCTACAGCGGGCTGATCACCAAACCCGATGGCTGCTTCTGCACTATTGTGTGGCCAGAGCCGCAGGAGACCTACTACACCGCCTTCATGTTCTACACCTTCTTCCTGGGCTTCTTCCTGCCTCTGATGGTCATATGTCTGTGCTATCTGTTCATTATCATCAAAGTGAAGTCCTCAGGAATCAGGGTGAGCTCCAGCAAACGGAGGCAGTCCGAGAGGAGGGTGACACGTATGGTGTCCATTGTGGTTGCCGTGTTTGTGTTCTGCTGGCTGCCTTTCTACATCTTCAATGTGACATCGGTCACAGGCACCATTAGCACCACACCTTTTTTAAGGAGCATGTTTGCCTTTGTGGTGGTGCTGGGATACGCCAATAGCTGTGCAAACCCAATACTGTACGCTTTCCTGTCACAGAACTTCAAAAAGAGTTTCCAGAATGTTCTGTTCTTGAACTGTGCTTTGGATGGGGTTGAACACACTGACAGCAAGCAGGACAAGTCAAGAATCATGAATGAGCCAACAGAAACTCGCAACACACTGCTAAATGGAGACCTGCAAACCAGCATGTGAAAAAGCAAAGGTCATTGCTCAGCAAACTGGATTTGAAATCAATAGGAAATGTGGTCTCTACAAATAGAGTAAGAGGAGTGACTGTAAAACCATCAAATATGGGTTCCATTTTAAAGCCCACTGGCTTAGTTTCCCAAAGTTACAAACTCTAATGGATTTTTGGTCATCTTGACATATTTTCCATTCATTGGTTAAAACCTGTAAAATACATTGGTAACACTTTAGTTTAGGGGACGATGGCATCATGCTCGGCAACATATCTGAGGAAGGCCTGAGAAACGAGACCGACCAGAGCTTGACTAAAACTAGCACGGTCGTCATCACCATCATCATGTACTTCGTGGTGTGTGCTATCGGTCTGTGCGGAAATGCTCTGGTCATCTATGTCATCCTGCGATACGCCAAGATGAAGACGGTCACCAATATCTACATCCTGAACCTAGCGGTGGCAGACGTGCTGTTCATGCTCAGTTTGCCCTTCATCGCTCTCCAGCTAGCGCTGGTGCACTGGCCGTTTGGCGCAGTTCTGTGCCGCTTGGTCATGACTGTGGACTCGCTCAATCAGTTCACCAGTATTTTCTGTCTGATGGTGATGAGCATCGATCGGTACCTCGCTGTGGTGCATCCCATAAAGTCCACCAAATGGAGGAAGCCCCATGTCGCAAAGACCATTAATCTGGTCGTGTGGGTCGTGTCGCTCGTCGTCAACCTCCCAATCATAATCTACAGCGGGCTGATCACCAAACCCGATGGCTGCTTCTGCACTATTGTGTGGCCAGAGCCGCAGGAGACCTACTACACCGCCTTCATGTTCTACACCTTCTTCCTGGGCTTCTTCCTGCCTCTGATGGTCATATGTCTGTGCTATCTGTTCATTATCATCAAAGTGAAGTCCTCAGGAATCAGGGTGAGCTCCAGCAAACGGAGGCAGTCCGAGAGGAGGGTGACACGTATGGTGTCCATTGTGGTTGCCGTGTTTGTGTTCTGCTGGCTGCCTTTCTACATCTTCAATGTGACATCGGTCACAGGCACCATTAGCACCACACCTTTTTTAAGGAGCATGTTTGCCTTTGTGGTGGTGCTGGGATACGCCAATAGCTGTGCAAACCCAATACTGTACGCTTTCCTGTCACAGAACTTCAAAAAGAGTTTCCAGAATGTTCTGTTCTTGAACTGTGCTTTGGATGGGGTTGAACACACTGACAGCAAGCAGGACAAGTCAAGAATCATGAATGAGCCAACAGAAACTCGCAACACACTGCTAAATGGAGACCTGCAAACCAGCATCTGAATAAACAAGGCTCAGCAAACTAGAGTTTCAATGTCATTCGAAACTGTGTGGCATCCACAAATAGAGTAAGAGGAGTGACTATAAACCCAGCAAATATGGTTTCTATTTTAAAGCCCACTGTGATGGCTTAGTTTCCCAAATTACGAGCAAAAATGGATGAATTTACCCATTTTTGGCCATCATGCAATATTTTTCATTCATTGATTCAAACCTGTAAAATACATATTTATAAATTGTACTCTAGAGCTGTTATTTATAAAGTATGTATATGGAGTTCCTTAAACAAATCATGGTCATAAAGAGAACTAAGGAGTTCTCCAGTGTCCTTGTGTTTGAAGAGAAGAAAATATTCAGTACTTAGTCTACCTAGTTTTTATTTTTGCTTTACACTTGGTTACACTTTATTTTAAGGTGTCCTTATTACAGTGTAATTATACATATAAGTACTGAGAACTACATGTACTTACTGTATGGTTAGGGTTAGGATTTGGCTTAGGGTTACTTGCATGTAATTATGCATAATTAATTGTTATTATAGTAGTAAGTACATGCAACGTGTAACAATGGCACCTTAACATAAAGTGTTACCTTACAATTTTATTTTATTCGAAGACGATAAGATAAATTATGATGTAAGCAACAACAATACTGTGTTCGTTACACTATGAAAATATGCTTTCTCATTTTTTTTTTTTTCCCTCTGTTGTTGCATTGTACACGTAAATATTGGCATCTAACTAATCTGAAGAGACAGTTCATCCATAAATGCAATATTGCTATATTCGTGCTAGTGGCGATTCAAGCCAAAAAAAAAACAGTGCATTGGGTCTCTCTCATCATTTCTAATAACTGTGCAAAGATTCTGGCCTCTATCCCTTTGAGCCAACATAATGTTAAGGTCAGACAGTAATCTAGAGAGATTTTCCACATCTAAAGCGAATGCTCATTTGAAAAGGGCTAAAGCGTTGTCCTTATGTTGCTTCTGAGATCAGGCGGGTACACATGTATCATGATCTCGGATGAACTCATTCGTTCAGATCAGTGCTCAGAGATTCCAAACATATCTTGCCTTCTTAACACTTGCTGACTGGTATTGCTTGTTTTCACTGAATGACGGCACACACAGCCACATGCCTAACAAAGATATTGGTTATAATCCTTACAATAGCAAAAGGCTTGATTTGTGTCACCACTTCCACTTTCTTTGTCCAAAATCTCTCTCTCTCTCTTTCTTTATGTCTATGATTTCATTCATCTGCCAGTCATCAAGTGAGTTTTTTCAAGACTTTGTGGAATAAAGATGTGATGATCTGACTACAAGCAGGCTTGACGTATTTACTTTATGTCCATCTCCCATGCCATGTCTGTTAGAATGCAAACTAGCTATGAAATGCATGCAAACTAGTGACTTTTCCTGTCTGTTTTCTTTAAATGAGTGGAATACATCCGGTGACTCATTAAAATGAAAACTGCTGTACTATTCCCTCCTCATTATGCTACTGTATTAAATATGTTTCAAGGTTATGACACTGTGAAGCACTGTACATGTACATTCTCTATCTATTCTTGCCTGATGAATGCGAGTGGGCTGGTCAGTCACCATTCATTATCTGGTGAAGAGCACCATCATCTGGTGAAACAAAAACACAGCTGGAAGGGTGAATCTCACACATATTATACAAATGTCAACCAAAATGGCAAATATTGCATTGTGGCATTATAGCACGATCAATTATCTTTACTAATCTACTTCAATGCATTACATTTTAATTGACTTGTAAAGAACAATTGTAAGTTACACTGAGATTTACTGTACTGAATTTAATTGAAAACCACAATGCTAAAAATATTAATAGTCCTAAAAAAGGCTTAATTTTCATGCAGGCAAAAGTAGCGTTATTAAAACTTTTTTTATTATTTTGGGGTGAAATATAATGTACAGTATGACCTATGAGTGTAAACGCAACCCACTTTATTTTCTTACATGACTATTGCTGTTAATTACTAATACAGATAATGACAATAAGTATGTGATTATGCAGTCATAATGTGATATTCCTTGTGGAAAGTCAAAGAATAGTTCATGTCTTTATTGTTACCCAGAAACAATAATTTAGCTACATTACGATCAAATGTTTGTGGTTGATGATGTACAGAGTGGATGGTAACACTTTATTTTAAGGTGTCTTGTTACACTTGTTACATGTACTTACTATTATAATAACAATTAATTATGCTTAATTACATTCAAGTAACCCTAACCATATAGTAAGTACATGTAGTTAATTAATATTACTCAGTACTTAAATGCATAATTACACTGTAACAAGGACACCTTAAAATAAAGTGTAACGGAGTGGATTAAATAATTAAGGTGAGAACTTAATCTGTAATGTATTTAATACTGAAGTAGTCAGGTGAATCTCACAAAGCCTATCATGAACGAAGTTAATCGACGTGTGACAACACCGGTAATACCGGTATCACTGCGGGGGCGGGGCATTCCCTCTTTTCCTCGCTTTCCTTCGCTTTTAAATAGCTTGCAAATGCGGCGTGCGCATTTTACTTTCACTTTCAAATAGCGGCAATTCGGAGTAAAGCAATTGTTCGTTTTTAGTTCATTTGAATTTTCCCTCTTTTCCTCGCTTTCCTTCGCTTTTAAATAGCTTAAAAGCGGCGTGCGCATTTTACTTTCACTTTCAACTAGCGGCGATTTGGAGTAAAGCAATTGTTCGTTTTTAGTTAGTTTGGATTTTCCCTCTTTTCCTCGCTTTCCTTCTCTTTTAAATAGCTTAAAAGCGCTGTGCGCATTTTACTTTCACTTTCGAATTAGCGTCAATTCGGCGTAAATTGCTTGAATGCAAACTCACTTTAGCCTATAAAACAAACATAGAACTTTTATTAACAAAATGAATAAAAATACACCATGCTATAGGGCAGGCTATGCCTAATATAAAATAACAAATAACTTACATAAAGTTTAAATAGGTAGCCTATACAAAACTGGAAATGTATAATATATAACCAAATCAATAAGAAACGTAGAAAGTTTATTAGCAAAATGAATAAGAAAGCTTGGAGGCACAGCATGCACCTTGATGTCAAATAAAATAAATAAAT